TGGCCTTCTGCCAGACTGAGAATCATAATCTCTAGAATTTAAGTCAAAAACTTGTAATATTTTTTTAAAAATCTCTCCAAGTAATTCAGAGGATCCTAAGGGTTGGAAACCATTGTTCTAGCAATTACAGTTCTCCTGGTCATGTCTTGTTAATTTCATCTTTCATTCTTTTACCACCGTCAGTACCACCCCCTTGGGTGTTTGAAAGAATAAAGCTCACATAAGCTATCTATTTGGTTTCTGGCTTAATTTATTATTGCTCTGGAAATGTTGGCCTCTCTCAGTCTCTCTCCCAAAAGAGAGAGAGACTGTTTATGTTCTCTTTTTAGTACCATCCCTGAACTAAAAAAAAAAAAAAAAAATTCAACTTTTATTCTTGATTCAGGCAGTACCTGTGCAGGTTTGTTACATGGATATATTATGTGATGCTGAGGCTTGGGGTACAATTGATTCTGTCACCCAGGTAGTAAGCATAGTACCCAACAGTTTTTCAACCCTTTCTCCTCCTCTCCCTCCCCTCTCTAGTAGTCCCCAGTGTCTATTGTTGGTATCTTTATGTTCATGACTACCCAATCTTTAGCTTCCACTTAAAAGTGAAAACATGTGGCATTTGCTCCAACAATCCCATTACTGTGTATATATCTAAAAATATAAATTGTTCTACCAAAGGGACACATGCACTTGTTCATCACAGCACTATTCACAATAGCAAAGACATGGAATCAAGCTAGTTGCCCATCAAAGGTGGACTGGACAAAGAAAATGTGAAACATCTACACCATGGAATACTATGCAGCCATAAAAAAGAATAAAATCATGTCCTTGGCAGTAACATGGATACAGCTGGAGGCCATTATCTTAAACAGATCAACACAGGAACATCCCTTAACCTTTGGTCAGCCTCCCCAAATTCTCTTACAGTGATCAGTCTCAAACCTTAATGTACACCAAAATCACCCAGCTTGTTAAAACACTCATTTCTGGGCCACACCCCCAAATGCATAATGTAGTAATTCTGAGAATCTGCATTTCTAACAAGTTTCCAGGTGATGCTGATGTACCTGGTCAGAGGACCACACTTAGAAAATCAGTTATAGATTTCCCAATTAGACCCATATTTTGGGCATTAATCACCTAGCAACTTGATGCAGTTAAGAAACCCCCTTTTCTCCCCAAAATAATTATAAATCTTCCTTTCATTATCCACTTCTAAACCACAACACACATTTCCACTTAAAGGTAATTAAATCGGGCTGGGCATGGTGGCTCACACCTGTAATCCCAGCACTTTGGGAAGCCGAGGCAGGCGGATCACCTGAGGTCAAAACCAGCCTGGCCAACATGGTGAAACCCCGTCTCTACTAAAAATACAAAAATTAGCCGGGCATGGTGGCAAGCGCTTGTAATCCCAGCTACTCAGGAGGCTGAGACAGCAGAATCACTTCAACCCAGGAGGCAGAGGTTACAGAGAGCTGAGATCATGTCATTGCACTCCAGCCTTGGCAACAAGAGTGAAACTCCATCTCAAAAAAAAGGAAAAAAGAAAAAAGGTAATTAAATCCAATAAATCCTAATTAAAATGTTTGAGTGCCTACTATGAGAAAAACACGGTTCTAATTACTAAAAATCACACCGACTTTTCATAATACATGTTAGAATTATTAAGGTACATTTTCTTGTTAGTACTTATAGACATCTAACCCATTTGAGAAGAGAGTAGCTCTACTCTTAAAATGATGGGTGTGATAGTTAATTTTATGTGTCAACTTGACTAAGAGATGCCCAGATAGCTGGTAAAACATTATTCCTACGTGTCTTTGAGTGTGTTTCTAGAAAATATTAACATTTGAATCAGGAGACTGAGTAAAGAAGATTGCCCTCATCAGTGTGGGCGGGCAGCATCCAATACCTTGAGGGCCTGAATAAAACAAAAGGGCAGAGGAAGGGTGAACTGGCTCTACCTGAGATGGGACATCCATCTTCTCCTGCCGCTGGACATCTGCACTCCTGGTTCTCCAGCCGTCAGACTCAGACTACAATTTACACCATTGGCTCCCCTGGCTCTCAGGCCTTCCGGTTTGGACTGAACCACAGCACCAGCTTGCAGAGGGCAGATCACGGGACTTAGCCTCCATGATCACGAGCCAATTCCTTGTAATAAATCTTTCTGCTGGGCGTGGTGGCTCACGCTTGTAATCCCAGCACTTTGGGAGGCCGAGGCGGGTAGATCACGAGGTCAGGAGTTCAAGACCAGCTTAGCCAGCATGGTGAAACCCCGTCTCTACTAAAAATACAAAAAATGAGCCAGGCATGGTGGCCCGCGCCTGTAATCTCAGCTACTCGGAAGGCTGCGGCAGGAGAATTGTTTGAACTGGGAAGGCGGAGATTGCAGTGAGCCGAGATCGCACCACTGCACTTGAGTCTGGGCGACAGAGCAAGACTCCATCTCATAAATAAATAAATCTTTCTCTATATATTTCAGTTGATGCAAAAGTAATTGCAGTTTTTGCCATAACTTTGAATATCCTATCAGTTCTGTTTTTCTGGAGAACCCTAATACAATGGGATCCTTCGATGAGGACATGCTAAACTCCAATTTATGATTGTCTTTGTTTAACTCTTCTATCTTTTCATTGTTACATGGGTTAATTTTGTCTCTGTAACCAGAATGTAAGTTTTTTAAGGACAAGTCTCTGTGTTATACTTTTTATATCCCAACTAATACTGCTGGCCATGTGATAAGGATTCAGTCCTCACTGGCTCATTAATTCATCACTTCCCAATATGTATTTCCTAAACCAGGGCTGAAAGTAAGACCATGAATTGCAAAAACATCCACATTGGTCAATAGAAAAACAGATTTCCAAGCCAACTGAATGATTTGTGTTTTAGTCACTCTTGTAGCATATGCATGCTTTTCCTTGCCTCTTTTCACCTAGATAACTGACATATGACTGTACTATGATGAATAAAGAGGAAATGCTAGCAACAGTAAGCTGGGATTCTAAATAAAATCAAAATTACCAATAAAAAGCAAAACTTCTAGGAATAGAAGAGGTAGAAGTTGAAAACTGAATTTTTCTTTATCTTCCAATAGGTATCACTAATAATTCCTTTGTGGACATCAAAACTGGATCAAATTTGAGAGGCAAGAGGGAAATTGAACAAAAATCAAATATTCAAGTAACACATTCATTGGGCTTATATGTTCCTTTGTGACTATCAAAAAAGGTCCTAAATCACAGCTGGTGGAATCTAACCAGACTCAAAGTGACTATCAACTCTCAAATAAATTCTCCACCATTACTGCCACATTATTCTAGCTTTTATTTTCATAAACATTTTACCCAATTTTGTATTTTCTGAATTATAACAATTATCTAACAAGGACTTATAAAGATACATAATGCTACCTTATCATTTCATGGCTCAGAGGCTCTCAGACTTTGTTCCTTTTTTTTTTTTTTTTTTTTTTTT